GACTGTAGATACCCGAGCGTTTGCGGTAGATCTTGATGGTGATCAGGACTAGTCCAAACACGATCATCATCGGAGCCGCGATCAAGGCGTACTTCACCCAGTCATCCTCCTCGGTGAGCCACCACCACTGGTATTGGTTGTCGTCTACCATGGCTATCAGCTTCGGACTGCTTCGGGCTCCTCAGATCTCAGACAGGCGGTATGTGACCAGGGCGAGCGAGGAGGACGTAAATTAATACTTTCAGAAATCCGCTGTGTGTTTGTGCGAGCGGGGTCGGACGAGGGCGGTAATAACCCTATATTAGCGCGTAGTAACTCTATTTTAACAAAGATAGACAATGGAGTCGAATACCAGCGGATGGAAATTGAACTATGTTACGGGAGACCTGTTTTCTTGTCCGAAAACCGAGTCTCTCGCGCACTGCATTAGCGAAGACTGTCGCATGGGCGCGGGCATAGCGCTGACATTCCGGAGGAGGTTCGGTCGAGTGAATCACGTAATGAGACAGAGAAAACGGACAGGAGAATGCGGTGTGCTGAAAGACGGCGACCGATACCTCTACTATCTGGTCACCAAACAGAGGGTCACGCATAGACCCCGGCTCACGGACCTGAAGGCGTCGTTGGAACGCATGAAGGCTCACTGTCTGGAGAACGGGGTTAAAAACATATCGATGCCTCGCATCGGCTGCGGCTTGGATCGGCTGAAATGGAAAGACGTGTCTGCGGCGATAGAAACGGTTTTCGGGGCCACCGATATCGCCATCACGGTGTATACGCTGCCTGCTCCTGGCTCCTACGCAGCAAGGGACGTTGCATACCTCGGCTACCTTGGCTGAGAATATTCATTTCTTTTGCTACTGTGTATGATGATGGTGATGATGAATAAAATAAGACTATGAGTTTATAAGAGTGGTTTAAACTGGTTTAAAATCGTTTTTGTTCAAAAACAAATGCACAAACAGAAGCAAACATGATGATGAATAAAATAAGTAAGTGGTTTAAAATCGTTTTTATTCAAAAACAAATGCAAACGATAACATTTCTATCTGTCATCACAGTCAAGCACGGTCACTGTCACAGTCACTGTCAGGTAGGTCTCGCAGGTCTTCCGCCAAATCGCGACGCCCGATCTGCACCAAGATACGATGATCTGCGAAATCGCCTCGAACGGATGAGAATGCTGACCGATGTAGCCTTTTCCCCTGCGGAGATGAAGAAACGCGGCCCTGTGAAGGACAGGTTGGGGACGATCGGCTCGCCTGAGGTGAAGCGTTCTGTGAAAGACAGACTGGGAACGATCGGCGCGATTGGCTCAATCGGCTCTCCTGAGGCGGTGGGTCACCGAAAGATTCGTCTGAGCGGCGAATCGCTAGACTCCGTCTTTACTCCCGGAGACCAATTCATCCCGATCGAAGCGCTCGTGGCGAGATCCCAGGGAAGCGCATTTTCGATTAGTCCATAGCGCATACCCCGCTTGCCCTTGGTACCCTTGTTATCCGAGCGTTCCAGCCCTGGAACGCTCCAGCTTAAGAACTGTTTCACTCGAGCTAGCTCCTCCGTGCTCAACGAATCCAATGTACGCCGAATGGAGTCTTTGCAAACTTCGTCCGTTCTGGTCATGTCGTACTCTTCGACCGGAAACACAAAGCCCTTCGATGCGTCGAAAGAGTTGCGGGTCAAGTCTTTGAAGCACTCTGTTAGGAAGGAGAACGCATCTGCGCAGCCCATACGCGAGCATAAAGTGCCCACGATAGATTCCGGACGTGCACTGTCCATGGAATCCCATACGGGAGTATGTATCGCGCCGAGCGCCTTCAGGTGTCCACGCATGCACGGAAGCACAGATGCCCACGGCAAACCTCCTTTGCTTGCTCTGCGAGCGTCCTGCAGCGCGTTGAAAAAATTTATGCACGTCTCTTCGTTTTTTATCAGGTAGGCCGCCATCCTGAATTTGATATCGTCGCTGTTCGGTGAAGCCATCTCAGATGAGGAAAGCAGTTTCTTTTCACATCCACGCTTCAGTGAATATGTATCAAATATAAATCGAGTTCTCAAAACCCGAAGGCTGTCGAGATGAGCGCGGCGATGCAGGCAGAACTCGATGCTTACCGCAAGGCCGTCGAGATGAGGGCGATTTGGAAGGCAGAATTCGATGCTTACTGCAAGGAGATCGAGCGCAAACAGCTGGGGGCGTTCGATCCCATCAGAGGTCGAGTGGCGCGAGAAGCGCTGTACGCGAAAGATCTGTGGTGCAAGCGGGGCTACGACCCTCGATGCTACGGAGAGTCGTGCCCCGTGCCGCTGGGGCGGCCGTGCGCGATTTTGCCCGTAAAACAAGACGGCGACTCCGCGTTCAGAGCCGTGAGCGTCGCCCTCAGCGGCGACCGCAAGCTTTACGGCCGTCTCAAAGACGCGTGTGAAAAATTAATAACGGACCACGTCAGCTATCACTGCCGCTTTTGGAAGCGCGACGACTACGAAAAATACGACCGAAGGTACCGGTCCGATATGCTGAGCTTCCTAAGCAGGATGCTGGGCATGGCCATAGTCGTTTACGGCGCGAGACAGAACTCGGAGACAGGCGAGAGCGAATGGGGCTGGCGCATCACCGACGATGGGGTTCTCTGCGAGTGGCACGAAGGAGACGGAGCGTTGTATCTGATGGAAAACGACGGCCATTTGCAGCCCGTGTTCTGCGTAAAAAAACCGAATTCAGAGGAGTGCTACGGGTTCTGTAAGCACAAAACGGTAACGAAGTGCCCTTGTTCTTTAGCGCAAGCGACCAGAGAGAAGCTGGTGCAAATCTACGACGACGACGATGACCAGACCAGTGATGAAGACATGGACCAAGCCTTTAGTCGCATACGTATTTGATTGTTACATTCGCAACTGTACTTTTCAATGTGTCCTATAACCACGACAATCAGTGTGCCATTTGCAATAAAAAAGAATAACATACGGTTGGTTTATGGTGTATTTTTTCACATAATAATTGATTGGAAAAAAAGAAAAGTAATTCAGAGACTTGAATCAAATACACAAGACAAAAGACATACTGATGTGGAACACGTTTATTGGACTGATCACAGAGCAGAAACATACAATACTGGATAATCAGATTAAAATGAGCACGCTTAATATAGAGCATAAACGGCTAATCGGGTCTATTATTGTTCACAATGAACATGATATATAGAAACATAGTAAAATGAACACGTTAAAATCAACAGAGGTCTTTGTTGGTAGCAGCATAGCGGCAGTTGTAGATCCTTAAGCCGATCGTCTCCAGTCAACTCTATTAAACACGTATCTGACAGCGCGTCAGCAACATCAGCTCAGCTCAGCTACATCGAACACATCGATTCCTTCCTGCGCAATGGCCGTCCACTGTCTTCTGAAAAGTTGGGGCCTGAGTCATCTCAACGACAAGTTTGAAAACAATTTTCCCTTGGAATGTTTCGTGTCCATGTCCGCGGCGAAAGCCAGAGACGAATACGGGGAGGTTTTCGCAGAACACCACGCGGATCTGTGCGACAGACTCAAGAAAATGTTGGCCAGGAAAGTCTACGCTGACCAGAGGGAACTCCCTCGAGGCGATCTGCGAAATCGCCTCGAACGGATGAGAATGCTGACCGATGTAGCCTTTTCCCCTGCGGAGATGAAGAAACGCGGCCCTGTGAAGGACAGGTTGGGGACGATCGGCTCGCCTGAGGTGAAGCGTTCTGTGAAAGACAGACTGGGAACGATCGGCGCGATTGGCTCAATCGGCTCTCCTGAGGCGGTGGGTCACCGAAAGATTCGTCTGAGCGGCGAATCGCTAGACTCCGTCTTTACTCCCGGAGACCAATTCATCCCGATCGAAGCGCTCGGGCCATTGATGAAGAAGAAACGAAAGCGCAGCAGGAGCAGAGTGTTTGTCAACGGACGCCAGACGCACATCAGACGAAAGCTGTTCAATAATTGCTGAAACGTTACTATGTTGATGAAAACTCCTGTGTTATATAATAATATAAATAAAAAATTAATGAATACACATACAGTATATGTGTCGTTTGGTTTCTTTGTGCGCTCATGGCTGGTATATGTTGTTAACTTAATTGATCCTAATGGAACGCTATGTCTTATATTAAAACAATATGAATTTATAAATCGAGTTCTCAAAACCCGAAGGCTGTCGAGATGAGCGCGGCGATGCAGGCAGAACTCGATGCTTACCGCAAGGCCGTCGAGATGAGGGCGATTTGGAAGGCAGAATTCGATGCTTACTGCAAGGAGATCGAGCGCAAACAGCTGGGGGCGTTCGATCCCATCAGAGGTCGAGTGGCGCGAGAAGCGCTGTACGCGAAAGATCTGTGGTGCAAGCGGGGCTACGACCCTCGATGCTACGGAGAGTCGTGCCCCGTGCCGCTGGGGCGGCCGTGCGCGATTTTGCCCGTAAAACAAGACGGCGACTCCGCGTTCAGAGCCGTGAGCGTCGCCCTCAGCGGCGACCGCAAGCTTTACGGCCGTCTCAAAGACGCGTGTGAAAAATTAATAACGGACCACGTCAGCTATCACTGCCGCTTTTGGAAGCGCGACGACTACGAAAAATACGACCGAAGGTACCGGTCCGATATGCTGAGCTTCCTAAGCAGGATGCTGGGCATGGCCATAGTCGTTTACGGCGCGAGACAGAACTCGGAGACAGGCGAGAGCGAATGGGGCTGGCGCATCACCGACGATGGGGTTCTCTGCGAGTGGCACGAAGGAGACGGAGCGTTGTATCTGATGGAAAACGACGGCCATTTGCAGCCCGTGTTCTGCGTAAAAAAACCGAATTCAGAGGAGTGCTACGGGTTCTGTAAGCACAAAACGGTAACGAAGTGCCCTTGTTCTTTAGCGCAAGCGACCAGAGAGAAGCTGGTGCAAATCTACGACGACGACGATGACCAGACCAGTGATGAAGACATGGACCAAGCCTTTAGTCGCATACGTATTTGATTGTTACATTCGCAACTGTACTTTTCAATGTGTCCTATAACCACGACAATCAGTGTGCCATTTGCAATAAAAAAGAATAACATACGGTTGGTTTATGGTGTATTTTTTCACATAATAATTGATTGGAAAAAAAGAAAAGTAATTCAGAGACTTGAATCAAATACACAAGACAAAAGACATACTGATGTGGAACACGTTTATTGGACTGATCACAGAGCAGAAACATACAATACTGGATAATCAGATTAAAATGAGCACGCTTAATATAGAGCATAAACGGCTAATCGGGTCTATTATTGTTCACAATGAACATGATATATAGAAACATAGTAAAATGAACACGTTAAAATCAACAGAGGTCTTTGTTGGTAGCAGCATAGCGGCAGTTGTAGATCCTTAAGCGTCCTCCTCCTCCCTGGCCCAAGAACGCGCGGCTGTTGCTTCTCTCCGGTAAGCGCTCACCCTAGGAGCGCCTTTCGGAAGGCTCAGACAATCCAACGTGGTGTACACGCGACCCGGGCAGCTTTCCGCGCCCGGTAGAGGGGCCTCTGTCCACTCGGAAGCCTCAGTGTCCAAAATCGTAGCGCCATACTGTCCAAATATCACCCCGCGAGTTCCCAGCACGTATCCTTGCACGGAGACCTCAGTATCGTTATGTCTCATCCAGAGATGCATGTTGAATCCGTTCGCGGTGCCCAGGGTCTTCAGCTCGGCGGGCGACAAGGATCTCAAAACGGAGCAAGTCGCATCCGCTCCTACGAGACCGCACAGTCTGGGCTCGTCCGGCCTTTCTCCTGCGTTTGTCTCAGTGTAGGTAACTACGCCGTGAGTCTCTCCGTCTAACTCGATGTCGCCG